TGACATGTTGCATCATAAAAAGTGAAATATTATACATTAAACTGAGATATTATGCATAAATAGAAAACTTCTATTCATGTCAAGGATTCATTCTTGTGCCAGATATTGCTCAGAAAAAACAAAAGGACATAAGAGATGCAGTGTCTAAAAAGTAGAAAAGCAGTAAGATACAAGTACGATACATGCCTGAAATAGAACAAGTAAACTAAATAAAGTCATGCTGCCAATTACACAGAGGATATAAGTAATATCACACATGATAAAGAAATAATGAAATAATGCCCATTACATCAACAATGTTGGACGTGAATGTGAAATATTACACCTGAGAAATAATAAATAGGAAATATTGCACATGAAAGTAAATGCTAGAATTCTAACTGCATTATAATCATAATAAGTGCTGATATTGAGACGTAATACTGGAAATGATGCTGATATTATTTAGATCTGAGTGATTTTTTTTAGCTGTTGAATTAATAATGTGTAATGTGAATTTGTAAACGAAGTCGGTTTGTCATGATTTAGTTGTGTTTTCTGTGCATCTCTTCACACAGTGAGCACGTGTCCAGGTAGTTGTAGGCTGTCGAGGTAAACAGGTGTCTATTTCTGAGTTGTTGTTTTTGACGTCATGCTGTGTGCCGCCTCCTTCAGGCTGCAGAGTTGGCCGAGTACAGCGCCAAGATCACGTTGCTGGAGGAGGCCAAGAGAAGGAAGGAGGAGGAGGCTGAGACATGGCACAGCAAGGTGAGCTCCCCTGGAGGTCGCAGGGGTCGCCTGCAGAATGCCACCACAAAGCATTTGTTGTCTGCAGCGCTGACAAAGCTGATCGTGTTCGCTGCAGGCTGTCGAGGTGGAGGAGAGTCTTGTGAGGACCAAGGAGGAGCTGCACATCGTGATGACCTCCAACGTCTCGGTTCCAGCTCCCGTCGTCGTCGTCGCCGCCGCCGGCTCCGGCTCCGGCTCCAGGTCCAGGTCCGGCTCCTCCTCGTCCTCCGACAGCGAGAGCGACCACGAGCGCAACGACCATGAGCGCAACGACCATGAGCACAGCGACCACAACAGCGACCAGAACAGCGACAAGAACAGCACCTACAGCGCCGAGCTGCAGTTGCAGGGCATCAACGACCACGAGGAGGAGGAGCGGGTGACCGAGGCCGAGAAGAACGAGCGCCTGAGGAGGCAGCTGATGGTGAGTTCAGGGTCCCAGGAGGCATCCCACACTGTGAACAATTTAAGATTTTTCAAAACAATTTTTAATTTCAATTTACTGTTATTTTACAAATTTCCCCTGTTTTGTTAAATTACAGATAACAGTTAGTGAAATCACAGGAAAAAGAAGCATTAATTTACATGTTGACCATAAAAGCAAGGCCAGAACAGTAAATAACATCCAAACCAAGTTATAAACAAAACTTCAGTTTGTTAACAAAATTATAAATCATTTTCTAAACTTTCCATTTACAGATTTTTTTCCTGTTTTTTTTACACATAATATCTGGTAAAATCACAGGAAAAAAATATTAATTTACATGTCGACTGTTAAAAAGACAGACCAAAACTATAAAGAATATATTATAAATAATTATATGTAAATCAACTAGAAACATCACTGTTACAGATATCTGCTGTTATTTCAAACAAAAAAATACATATAATAATAATTTTCAAATCGTGAAATTGTAATTGCATTTTTTTTTTAAATAGTTATTTTGCAGATTTTTTTTCTTAGTTTGTTAAATTATTGATCATAACTAGTAGAATCACTGTAAAGACAAAACAAAAACAAAAATAAATACTGAAAAGCAACCCAACAGTGCGGCAAAATATTAGCCTCAAGTCGTTACTGCCCCCTTCTGGAAGTAAACTCTCTCTGCGTCTGTGATAATCACCCACAGCTGGATGACTATTGGTTAGTTAGGTGTAACATATTACCTGTAAAGCTAGGAGGCTAGCTAACAGCTTTCATTTAACACTTCCGACCACAAAACTCAGAAAAAAAAGGAACTTTCACCATGTAGGACCTTTAAAAGTACTGGAACAACAAGGTGCATCCTTACGGTGTAATAACTGGACTAACCCCTTCACAGGAGCTGAGCTCGGACCTGGCAGAGGCCCGGGACGACAACAAGAAGACCCGGTACGATCTCCTCCACGCCGAGAACGTCCGAGCCGGCCGCGACAAGTACAAGACCCTCCGTCAGATCCGCATGGGCAACACCAAGCAGAGGATCGACGAGTTTGAGGCCTTGTAGGAACCCCAAAGACCTGAGGACGCCCCTCGAACACCTCACCAAGGCCCCATTCGGCATATTTTAATTACAGGGTGACGTAATTACAGCCGCACGTGTGATCTTAAAAGACCCAGAAAAGCAAGAAACCCGTTAAAATGTAAAGCTGGATGGGTTTGTCCCTCTGTATGAACAAAGCTGGTACTCTAGAAATCATAAATGTTCTGATAAACAATTTGGCTTTGCAGTTTTATTATTAGCTGAGGTGGTAGAACTTTATTTAATGAGTCCCCCATGTCGCAAACATCTCATGATGTTAATTTTGTCAATAAAATTGAACAAAAATGGCCAAAACGTGCTCCTAAAAGGCAGATGGTAACATCTTCATACATGCTGAATATGGCCTGACAACTGACTCAAAACGATCATAAGATTAATGTTCTGTTAATAATCTGTTAATTCTTTCACCTCTACTGCCTTGTTCACCTGTTTTCTGTGCATTTAAATAACAATGCAGCTTATTTCACTGGCTTTAATGTGCTTATATCCTCACGTAATGTTTAAAATCAACTGGTTTTATGATTTTACATGTATGTACGCAGGCGAATCTCATCTCATCATACTGTCCTGTTTATATAGTGTCATTACTTCAGTGCTGCTTTTCTGCAAAGTTAGAGACAAATAATACAAACCCAACGGCCAAAGCTGAAGCTGGATCCTACATTTCCCATAATGCAGCTTATTTGTGTCCCACTCGCCTAAATGTTGCTTCTGTTCAAACCCTTTGCTTCATTATGTAACTTAAGGTTTCTGTTTTGATTTTTTTCCCCCCATCGTTGTTTAATGTCCTCCAGGGCCACAGAATACGTGACAGCTAAATGCTCGGTGGTGAACTGAATTGCGTTCATAAAAATCTGTGGATTGCCACTTTAACTTAAACATTAACTGACCTTCACCTGGTGCAGCTTCATGTTCAGGCAGAAGAACAATTAAAGACACTCTTTGAGTATGATGTCACTTGGATGGTGTTTGTTTCTGCTCTTTGAAAGGTTATTTTCATATAAAGCCCTCTTTATGAGCTGTGTGACAGTGACGGATAGTGTGACAAGACTTAACCTTAACCCCACTAAAAACAGATTTCAGGTAATCACTAAACTGTTAAAGCCGCCATGTGAAGGCAGAAAAGAAAATTCACTCTGGTAAAAGTCAAGTGTTTTGTTTTGTTTTTCACAGATTGTGACTCGACCACTTCAGAAAATTCACATGGTTGTCTTTCAACCATTTCTGTGTAGCTTTGGCTGTTACTTTGGATTCTTGTCTTGTTGGAAAACAAGTCGTCCAAGTCACAGTTCACTTGCAGGCTGCATCAGCTTGTCTTTCAGGATTTCCCAAAACTTTTCTGCAATCATTTTAACCTCTGCCTTTACAAGCTTTTCAGGATCTGCTACAGAAGACCTCCCCATGTCATGATGCTGCCACCACCGTGCTTCACATTATGATGCTGCCACCACCATGCTTCACGTCATGATGCTGCCACCACCGTGCTTCACATTATGATGCTGCCACCACCATGCTTCACGTCA